GTTTTTTTTTTTTTTTTTATCTCTTCGGGGGGAAAAATAGAGTGATACGAAACATTAAAAAAAATCATAAAATAAAAAGTTTGTCAAAATAAGCACATCGAACGTGGTTTTGTGTCCCGCTGAGCCAAGGCTGGCTGTTCAGCGTGACCGTCAGCCAGCCCCCGCTCTCAATTAGAGGAGATTCATTAGGATTTAATAGCAGGTGCAAAGCCATCTCCCTGCCAGCAGCACTGCCCTTGGCTAGGAACCGTCTCGTTTCGCAGCAGCCTCCAGCTCTCCCGGCTCTCCCTAAACCTGAGCACCGCTTGGGATAACGGGGTGCCGGCGCGCCTGCGGCTGCCCGCACGTAAGCGCTGCACTTTGTTTGGCTAATTTCTCCCTGCCAAAACACAAGGTGGAAATCTGCCGGGCTCGATATTTATTTTGGAAGACATTGCCGTGAGCGAATGCTCTGAGAGAAATAAGACTGAGATAAAGCAATCGCTGGCCCGGGGGCTGGGGGTGCATGGGGAGCAGGAATGCACCGCTTTTTCTTTCTCGAGCTCCCAAACAGACAAATAAACAAACAACCTCGGCAGCAAACACACTCAGAGGGTTCGGAGCCTTCGGGGCTCAGAACCGGGCTGCGCCGAAGAGCCTAGGGGCCGGGGTGCCGCGTCCCACCGCATCCCGCATCCCAGCTGGTGCCGCGGCCCGGCCGGGCTTGGAAAGCGCGGCCGTGATTACACCCAAGTGCAGAGCAGGATGGCTCCGAGCCGTCTGATCTGACGTCAACATGTCTCTCGCTCCTCGCTGCAAGATAGAGGGAGCAGAGCCGGGGGAGGGACTGCTCTAATCATTCCCAGATGTCTCTAATAGCAGATATAAAGACTTATATAGTGTCTGAGAATAAATTTGTAATCAATGCTCTAAAATCGCATCATCAAAGCAATGGTATTTCTAGAGGAAAACGGGGTTGGGGGTAGGGAAAACTGAGGAAGAGGGAGACACACACCACGCTGGTGTGGAAGGAGGCAGCCACAGGGAACCTCAGAAATCCGCCGGCCCGGCGCATCACTCGGCTTTGCTAAAATTTATGTGAATATATAATTCAGATAACAACTCTGCTTCACTCGCCATCGTATGTGACAAGTTGAAACAGCTGAACAGTAATTGGCCAATTAGAAATAGAAAAGATGGGAGCTGGTTTGCAAAGGCATATATTTCATGGGGCCGCGGGAAAAAGAAAAATCCCAAATTAAAAATATATAAAACATTGATAAGCCCTTGTTACAGCAGAGGGGATTATGTCCGTAGGCGTGCAAAATGCGTTTCCTTCCCATCGCTACTTGGAGATTTCTTCTGGGGGTATTTGTGAGTCGCTGGGAGAGTACGTGTGAAAAAGGAGGATTAAGGTTAGTTTTCCAAGCGCAAAAGGAGGATATTTTGCTTAGAGGTTTCACTATTAACCTTTTCTCCCCACCTCCCTGCCCACCTTTCAAGTTCATGCTGTCTCCATGGCATCCCCCAGTCCTGTTTATATCCCGGCATGGCCCAGCGCTCGCTCTGGGGGTGTCTGGCTCGGCCGAGAGGCCCCGTTGCACCTCTTTGACAACGATATCAAACGAGAAATAATTATTGCAATAATCTTTTGAGGCAATGAAGAGCTCCTGGGAATCACGGGGGAGAGGGGAGTATGTGTGGAAAAAAAATTCCCCAGACCACAAAACTAAGCAAAACGAAGGAAAAAAAAGCCTCACCACATTTTTTTCTCTTTTGCTTGCCGGGATGCAGGCATGGCGTACACATCCGATAGCAACGAGATCCCGCATGTTGCAGAGTCCCCCAAAACTCGGTGCTGCCGGCGCCCGATAGGCTCGCTGCCAGCAGCGGAGCGCAGAGCCGGCCCCTCGCTGCGTCCCCGCTTCCCAAAATCCCGACGAGCTGTAAAATTCCGCGCTGCTGTCTGCCTCGGGGCCCCAGGGGACACGGAGAGGCTGGGAAGGTCCGTGCCCCCTGCGAGGGGTGACGGCGCCGTGCCGGGGCCGCAGCCGGGCCCGCACCCCGGGAAGCGAGGGGCCGCTCCCGGGAGGGAAGGGAAGGGAGCGGGACGGCACCCGGGGGAGTTGGGTCTCTCTTCCTTTCCAAGGGGAGAAAAAAAAATTAAAATGCCGTGTTCTCTTGAAAGATAGCAGAGGGCCTCGCTCCCTTCGCCGTGAAAAGAGGCCTAAAACACGGATCCGTGAGTTAATCTGAGGGGACAAGGCTTCAGCGACACGGGTGCTCTCCACCCTGCCCTCCCTTCTCTCTTCCTCCCTGCACCCACAGAGCAAAGTTGCAGGGTGGGAAAGGCTGCTATCCCTCCTTTTACGTGCCTTTTACCTCGGTAAAAGCTCCCAGAAATGTTTTGGCCCCGAGGAATCACCGGAGAGACGGGCGGGATGCCGGTGCCCCCGGTGCGGGCAGGATGCGGAGCGCAGCTCTCCGCTGTTATCAGGCCCCGGCTCCGCCGGCGCGGGGCTGAGGCCAGGGCACTGACATCCCCATCTACCATCAATTTACCTTCTGCTTCCCCATTTAGCTTTTAACGTCAAAACCTACATTTTTGTCGGCTCCGGTCTGTCTAGGGCTCCTGTGATTTAGCTGCGGGAATGGCTGCTCCTGGGAAAATAGCAACATCCTCGTTAGTGAGCAATTAAAAGAGATCCTCCTTAGCGGATTCAGAGGGGCTCCCGGTTCTGATAAACTGACGTTACAAAACCATAAAATTATTAATGTGGAAATACTAGACAGGCAATTTCTCTTCAGTTCGGAGATTGGATATCGGAGCCGCCCGCCGGCCCTACCGCGCACCCCCCGGGGGAGTTGCAACCCGCTGACTCTGTCGAGGGAAGACACAGCATTTGCAGAGAGGCTGCCCATGGGGTGCCCCACCGCAGCATTCGCAGCCACCCCTCACCCCTTTTATTTTTTCCTGTGCAGCAAAAAAAAAAAAAAAAAAAAAAAACCAAAACCAAACCAAACAAAAAAAATTGTTTGAGCAAGGAACGCAGAGTTGCGAGGAGCTCCAGATCATCAGCTGGGCAACTAATAGGCAAGGAAAAGCAAACAAGGGGGCAGATTCTTCTCTCCAAGTGTTATAAACAGAGGCAAGTGTCTGTAAACACAGACCCACGCCGGATAGCAGAGCCGGGCTGCCTGACCCGACGGGAGGGAGGGCACATCACTTTTGTCTGGTTGTTGTAACCCCGCAACCTCCCCACTGTCAGCAGGGGCGGCGAAGCGGCGCAGGGGCTCCCTTATCTTTTTATGGGCAATTGCACATCTACCTACGCTTACTGCTGGCTCTGCTTGGGAACCACTTCCTTAGGCACGGGCAGGCCGGCAGGTATGCAGCCCTGGGCCTGGAGAGAGACCCAGCTTGGTTTAAGCAGAGGTGATTTACGTAAAAGTTTAAAATACGAGCCCTAATTTTATTATGGAAAAGGTGGAAAACATTGCCCTTAATCAGGAATGAACAAAAAACACCTAGACCAGCTTCCTTTAGTGAAAACCATTCATTTTCTCCTTGCATGCCTACGATACAGAAGGATGCCATGCATTTCCCAGCATTGAACTCTGCAGCTCGCCCTGGTACTGGGGAGCAGAAAAGTCATCAGACTGGCACCGGGATCCTTGTAAAGGAGTCGATAGACAGGGAGAAATATTTAAGGGAAGAAAGATCCTGTTGGCGAAGCAATGAACGTACTAAAAAGAGACAGAGCATGGGCTGCTGCAGTTTGCAGCTGGATAAAAAAGGTTAGAAATAATTATACTCGCTGTGGCGTGCTGGAAACGTGCAGCCCAGGAGAGTTTTAGGAACCACAAAGTTAATATTAAGTTCATCGTAGCTCATTGTAAATCTTACCTATTCCCTACAGCACACCCTCCCCACCTCTCCCCCAGACCCCCGCAAATCCCTTGCCTTGTTCGCTCTCTCCTCCTTGACGTAAAATTCCCTGCTACACAAGCACTCCGCGCTCAGCCCGCCAGCCTCCCCGGCCTGCCCCGGCCCCTGTGCGGGCACCGCGGCCGCCCGCGCTCCGCGCACGGAAACCGCGCGGCTCCGCCGCTCCCGAGCCCCGCCGCTTGCGCCCGGGCCCGCTTCCCGCTCGCTGTGGGTCCCCGGCATGGAGAACACCACCACAAGGAATTCCTATTCGGATGAACTGCCGGGTTCTGTTCAACACTCACGGGGGGCTGAGAGATCCCTCCCTCTAGCCCTCCTTTCATTCAGTCGCTTGCTTAAAAATAAAATTAGGAGCCATCTTTATAATTTAGTTTACTTCCGAATATTTTAAATATTATGAAAAAAAAAGCCATAAACAACGCTGTTATTCAAAACATTTTGAGGTATAAAACATAAAAAGATTTGGATTTTCTTTTTTTTTCCTTTTTCTTTTTTTTTCTTTTGTTTTGTAAAAAACACACACAGTGGTTTATTGAGTACTTACAACGTTTACACCTTCAATATTAATTAGATTCCACTTTTTCCCTTACGGACGGAAGTGCACATAACCAATAACTGTTGAAAACATCTTCAAATACTGAACGACCACAACAAAATTACAACACTAAATACCGAGTCAATCGAAACATTGGTGCAACTGCTTCTGTTGAAATATAGCTTTATAATCCCATGAATATTTATATCCAAAAGGCCAAGTATTAAAGATACACTTCACATACACACTAATGCCAGGGAGGGATTTTTTTTTTCCTTTTCTACGGTTCTGTTTTCCCCACGTGTTTTATACAGAGCAAATAACATTCACGAAACATTTAGAGACGTTACCCCTTACCAAGCTGGAGTTTCCTCTTCATATATGGAATGCTTTTTCCCTCTCCTTCAAATATCCACATTTTGGGGGGTTGGGGGAGAAATTGCACATAAATAAACTGGATTATTCCAAATACAAAGAGTCCTCAGAGGAGCGCTCACTACCGAGACTAAGAGGACGGCTCCTCCAGTCCTGCCGTGCTCACTGCTTGAGCTCCAAAGCCCAGACATGCTGCGGCCAGCCAGTCCTCCCTTTGGTTTTCTTATCGTTGCTGCTAACTGTGCTTTTCAAGATTTCGTTCTGGGGAGACAGGATGCGAGGGGAGAGAGAGAGAGAAACAGAAGGGGGAGAGGAGAGAAAAAAAAGTTAGATATATTCCTCCCCTTTCTAGGTCGCATCTGCTCTTCTTCGACATCGAAAGCTACGAGGAGACCCGAGCCCGTCGAGGCCTGCGGGCTTCGAGAGGCATCACGGGGACCTCCATCCACGGCACCCCGCCGCGGAAAAAGCCGCCGCCGGGCCCGTGGCGGGGCAATTCCCTCTCCGCGCCATCCCGCTGCTCTGCCGGGCCGGAGCGCGGGGCTGGGGGCTGAGAAGCGCCAGCCATCCACGGGGATTGCGATAAGGCCTCCCCTAAGCCAGGCTCTCCCTGAGTGCGGGGAGAAGCTGGGCACCGGTATGTACCGGGGCAAAGCCGGTAACACACGCGGAATCAGTCACCAGCGAGCACGCCACGGGGCCTGCACGGAATTGGGCTTGTGCTGCCCGGCCTAAACCGACCCTCCCGTTAAAAATCGAAAAGGCTAAAGCGCGGAGTGCAGAGGCAGGAAAGCCTCTCGCTGCGAACCTCGGACTTGCCGAAGGCTAAAAGCCGGGCTGGGTTTAGCAGGTAATCATGCCTCCACATTTCCATTTAAGAGAGCAGAGGCTTGCCTCCTGCGAGATCAGACTTTGGGATACGGGACAAGCAGCAGCCCGGGAACAGCCTCCCCGCGGTGCCCTACTGCGGCCGCCTTTCCCCCGCGGCTGCTCTCAGCCTCCGGGTCGGATCCGCACGCCGACGGCCGCTCCCGGCTGCGCACGGTCCCGCTTTAGGCCCGCAGCTACGGCCAGGGGCCGGTGGGACCGAGGTGTCCCCCATGGACATTCCCCGGCGGCTCTGCCCTGCGAGGAGCCGGGTGCGCTCGCATGGGGCGCCGAAGGGCGACCGAGCAGCCTCCCCTGCGCGGCTCCCCCGCCCCGTCCCGCCCCGAACCGCTCCGAGGCACTGACCAGCTCTTTCTTCCTCTTCTCTTCCTTCACGTCTGTCTTCTTGATCTCTGCCTTGAAAGCCTCCGCCTCCCCGTTCTGGTCGTCCTTCGCCAGCAGGTCCATGAGGTAGGCGATGTAGCTGGTGGCCAGACGGAGGGTTTTGATCTTGGAGAGCTTGGTGTCTGCGGGCACGTTGGGGATGCACTCCCTCAGCTCCGCGAAGGCGCTGTTGATGCTCTGAGTCCTGCGCCGCTCCTTGCGGTTCGCCGTGCCCCTGCGTTTCACCGGCCGGGGCCCCCCGAGCCCGGGCGGGCCGTTCCCGGGCGGCACCCCCCCGTAATGGGAGTGGTCCATGCCCGGCGCCCCGTTGGCGTACTCGGGGCTGTAGGACAGAGCCATGCTGTAGTCGGGGGGGGACATCTCCGGGTGGCTGCTGATGAGCCAGCCGTGGAAGTAGGGGTTCTCCTCGTGGCCGCAGCGGGTGGCGGCGGCGGCGGCGGCGGCGGCGGCGGCAGCGAAAGGGTAGCCCTCATGGTGCACCACCGGGTGGTGGGGGAAGCCGCCCACTAGACTCATCCCCGCTCCCTAGAGCACCCCACCCCGCCCCCCCGGGCCCCAAAACAAAGGCTTCCCCTCCCCGCCCGCCCCCCACCCCGTCGCAGCGGCGGGAGATGCTGCCCGCCGCTCACCCCTCAGCACTGCCCCGCTGGCCGCTGCCTCTCCATAGGGCGCTGCTGCAGAGTCCCCGCGGGTGCCCGAGCGATCCCCCCTCCCCGGGCGCCGCCGCCGCCGCTCATGCGTTGTGCCTCCACCTCCTCCTCCTCCTCGCCCGGGGCCGGGTCTTCGAGGAAGCGCGCACAGGAAAAAAAAAAAAATAAAAAAAGGAAAAAAAAAAAGAACAAAACTACGGAGAGATGTCGACCAAAACAAAAATGGCTTGGCTTCCCAGCCTGGGATCTTCCTCGCCTCTTGCTTCCCTCCGCTCTCGCCAAGTCCGCCGCGGCCCGGCCGGGTGGTACTTACACGCGGCCCCCCTCCATGCGCCCCCGGCTCGGGGCGGGCGGCGCTGGCTCTGCCCTGCGCGGCGGCGGGGCCGTCAGTGCTGGGCGGGCGCTCGCATCCCTGCCCGCCGCGCCGCGCTGCTCAGCGCCCCGGCGCTCCTCTGGGGCATCCGCGCCGCTCGGCCGGGCGCGGCGGCGGCGGGCGGCGGCGGGGCTCGGCGCGGCGCGGGGCACTGGCAGGGCTCCCCGGCCCGATCTCCATGTACAGCTACATGTTTAGGGCCGCTCGGGTTAATATATGTCGTCAGAAGCGGCGGCCGCCAATGGCTGGGGCGGGGGCGGAGCCCGCCGCCCTCCGCAATAAAACTTTTTGATGTTCGCTCTGCTAATTGCCGAGCTCCTCTTTTAGGATTGGCTGCCCCTCCGCATCCCTAATGTAATTAAAACAAGGGGGGAAAAATTATCATGGAGGCAGAGGTTAATGCAAGTGTTTAGCAGATGCCTTACAGTAAAATCTGCATTAAAAAAAAAATTAAAAAACCCCGAACAACAAAACCCCCCTACAAACTCGGTAAAACTTAAATATCGGATAATCTCAAACCAGGTACAGTATGGATCCCAGAAGTTTATTGGCAAAAGTCTATGTGAATGGGCTCTGAGGCTGCTTTGGCAAAGCGTTTTGTGCCGGTCCGGTAAAGGAACAAATTGAACCGGCTCGGAGGGCACTTCATCGGTGCCCGGCTGCTGCAGGCATGCCCAGCAGCGCTCCGGCTCCTGCCCGTATCGCTGTTAATGCACACCACGGGATCACAGTTTCCGTGAGGAGGGCGGCGGAGCGGCTCTGCCTCGCCTGTCACCCGGCTGGCGACCCGGCTGGCGACCCGGCTGGCCGGGGCAGGGAGCGCTCGGGGCTTGGACGGGGGTGGCTCTGAGAGAATTGTTTTGAGACATTAACAATAAGCCCGACTCTACCTGATTCTTTTCCAGCTTACTGCCTGCCCTGCGCACCTCCACCAGCCTTCACGCGAGTGGCTCAAAAATCGCCTGAAATCGGTCTCATGCTTCTTGAGATGGTGTGATCGGTAAGTAACCGAATATTTTTTACAGCATGTTCCGAGCTAATTTTCTAGCTTTTACTAACAAATATATAAATATTTCTCAACATTCCTGCTTCTGCGATAAAAAAGACCAGCATCTGCGGAAAGCAGATGTTATCGAAAGGGAATAGTTAAATATTTGCTTAGCATCCAGGCCAAGGAGGAAATCTCCTGTAGCTGTTTAGGTGCTTTGCTTTAGTAAGCTTGAAGATATTACAAAAGAAAAATGGATCTCAAGCTGTAACTCATGGATAACTCGGAGGCGAGGTGCATTTGTTGTCATCCTCAGATGGAGCCGAGCATTACTAAATAGCTGCGAAATACCAAATACCCATTCTTATTTGTGCTGGCTGACGCCTGGGCTCATTCGGCGTATATTGTAACGCAGTTCTGCAATATAGGCAGTGTGGAAAACTGTGTCAACAGGAGCTGAGAGGTCGTAAATTAAAGAAGGAGAAAGATAGAGATGGAGGAGTCTGCGAAAGAAGGCAGCAAGAACTGTGGTCCAATTTCTGCAGCAGCTTAAGGCGCTGTCCGGCCCCTCTGCAGAGGCTGCAGGGGTTCCTCGGGGGAAGCGCTGGGTGCTGGGAAGAGGGCGAGAATCAGCAATCAGCTCGATGCCCGGGGAGAGGAGGCAGGCTGAGCTCGGGGGGTCCCGGCGTGAGAGGGCGGCTTGGTACGGGGCCGCTTCTTGGGACCGGGGGCTTTGCGGGCGCGTCTGCCGGCTCCCGGCCGGGAATGCCCTGCAGGCAGGGACGGTCCCGAGGGTGAGGCCGGCAGCCAGGGAACAGCCTGCTGTCCTACGCGGGGCTGCTTCCTCGGGGGAATGCTAAAGGCGAGGGACAGTGCTGGTTCGGCAGGACGGGGAGCGCAGAGCTGGACACAGAGAGGAGACGCGCACGGAGCACAGACGTGCAGGCGTAGGTTTTTATAAGCATATACACATATGCGTGAGCGTCTGGGTGTAAACTGAGTACGAAAGTGAAAAACTAGTCCAGATGTAGAATTGATGTATATACACATATATCTTATACGTACACACACATGCTTGTAGCCAGCTGATGGATATCTGTATCTATATATGCACAAGCACACGTGTATTTATTGTGTTATCCCGAGGAAAGAACGTGTCTCCAGCGTGGATTTTTAAATGTAAGGAGGGCCGTGGGCAGACCGTGCAGGCAGAGCCCTGAAGCGGCCAGGCAGCGTGTCCCCGCCGCTTGGGATGATATGTCTGCAGGGCGCAGCCTGGAAACCCACCCCGTTTCTCCAGCTTTGTTTTGCTGCGATATATTCCTGATGGGAAGAAGAAATGGACTTTGTCGAGGCCGGAAAGTTATACTTGCTTGCAAACGGGCGTGTGTTTCTTTACACTCTCTCTGATAGTGAACGAGCTTTGCGACACACTGCAGGTTAGACTGCAACTGTGACAGTCTCTGTGACAAGACACTACGGCCGCTCTGATAGCATCTCCAATGATGAAGGAAACGGAAAACATGAGGCAGAGAAAAAGTAATAAAATATACAGGAGATATTGATCAGAACACCAGTCTCCAAAGCTAGAGTCGTGATTGCTTAATTAACTTTGGAGAAAGAGGATCTCTAGATAAAGCACCCAGAAGGATCTTATATATATATTTCCCTCTTATCCCAGCAGTTATTTATGACTTTTATTAAGCAGGTTTCAGAGCAAATGCAACTTTCTTGTCCTCCCTCAGTTTTTAAATGCTCAGCATTTCCCATCATGGGTTGTAGCCTTTTCTGTTTGGAAAAGGCTACAACCCATGATGGGAAAAACTTTGAAAAACGCTGCAGCTCAAAGTACCTTTCCCGATACTATGCTCAAAGTCCGCTAAAAGCACCATCATTGATACCAATCTTACACTTATTGATTTGATTAGATTTTTTTATTCGTGCACAAATCATACGGTTAAAAAAAAAGGAAAATAAAACCAAGAAAAAAAAAACCAGAAAAGAAAAAGAAACCTTACTTTTATGTCACTTTATTTCCCTGCCAAAATAGTTGCATGTTAGGCGGCGATTTATTTGGATTCTGCTGCCAAACAGGACTCTCCTAGCCCGCTATAATAAAGAAATTTCGGTGGAGACTGTGCCGAGACTGGATTTCTCTTCCTCTGCCCGCTGCTTAGAATTTATTTTCTTTTATTTTTTCGGGAATCGGTGCGTGTGGGGGCTGTACCGCTAGCTGTGCCCTGCGTTCTCGCCCCTCCAGCCCTGCAGCCCTGGCGGGGCCGGCGGGAGGAAGGGGCTGCCCTTGCCTCCGGTGTGCGCCCGGGAGCGGGGCCGGAGCCCTGGCGGGGACTGCGGGGCCGGGGCCGGCTCCGCTTCCGCCCCCGGGGCCGCCGCTGCCCTGTCCTGCCCTGGCCCGGCGCTCCGCCGCCGCCGCCGTGCCGCTTATCGCCAGGTCACTGCTCTCCTCCGGGCCGGGAGCGAGGTGGGAGCTGGGATAACAGAACAATAGAGCCGCACTCCCCCCTCCTCCCCGCCGGGCTTGTGTGAATTAAGCTAAATTGCAAATTAAGCTAATTTCTCCGAATCAGTCGGGGAAAAGCGTATGGAAACGGGGAAGAGATGCTGACGCTGGGTGGTCGGAAAGCCACATCTGCTGGGGACTCCCGGGCTGGCTGACCTGGGAACGCTGCGCCGGGCCAGGCCTGTGAGCAGCAGGCCAGGGGCAGAGAGGCGCCTCGCCGGAGCCTGGGCAGCGAGCCCGCTCATTGCTGCTTGAGCGCACCTTCCTTTTGAGGAGTGCCCGAAACCGGCGAGGACGGGGCGGCAGCGAGCGCCACAGGCACCGCTGAGGTGCCCGGTACCGACGGCAGACATACCCATCCCTGCTCCGTGCAGCAGCACCGGGATCTCCCTCCACAATTTTCATTAAAGCCGAGAAATAATCAGACACACGAAAGCACCCCAAGGACACCCCGTCCTTTGCTTTTGATGCGCTGCCCTGGCCGTGCATCTCCCTCGGCGTCTCTCCCTCCCGCAGCTCCCTGAGTGCCCGGGTGCCGATTCTCCCTTTCCCCCGGCTGCCCACCGCATCGCTCAGCCGCCCGGTGCTCGGCTTGAAAAGCCGAGACGGGTTTGAATTTATAGAGTGCATGATGTCATTGACCCGGGACCAAGCGTATCAGAAAAGGGGGTATCAGAAAAGGGTGGATTCGGGGATGCTGGAGCATCCCGTGTCCGAAGGGATGCCATGCATCCTGTGTCTGGGGCGTCGCTTAGGAGTTCGTGAAAGAGCATAAACATGCAAGAAAAGGGATTTTTGAAAAGAGGCACGGAGAAATATGATTTGGAGGTCAACCTGTCAGTGCGGGTTAATGAAAAGGACTTGCGCCTAATGGGCCTGGCTTGCACCCTCTCTTGTGCTCACACAACCTGTATTTCAACGCCCTGGGCAGAGGGCGGGATCGGGCCCAGCAGGCCCGAATTAATCGCTGCCCTTGGAGGAGAA